GCTCTGGCTTCGTGTGGTTTGTATGGCTGTGTCCCAGGCTGGCCTGCTGGCGGCTCCCCTCTGCCAGCCCTGGGCGCTGTCCTCATATTTTCGCAAGGACGTGGTAACGCCTGGCGGGCGTTCTCCACCCACCTACGAGATACCCGTCACCCTGCAGACTCCCATGTGGGCCTCCCCACCCCACTCACTGTGCCGTCACCATCGGACCGTAATACCATCCGGACCCAAACTGAGCGCGGCGCCTCCACTCCGGCCTCACTTTCTGTCTCTTGCTCCCTGCATCTGGTCTGGTTCTTGCCCCCTCTCATCGGGCACCCAGGGCCCTCTGGCCCCCACAGTGTGGTCTCCTCCACTCTCACCGGGATTCTTCCCAGCCTCCTTCCTCCTTGGGCCCCCCCCCCCCCGGTCTCCCCGGTCCCCGGCTCCAGTATATTCCCTACACACAGCCACGGGGAGTGAGGTTTCAAAAACGCAGATGTGAGCCTGCCTCTACTTGCTTTGACCTTGGAATGACTTCCAGAACGCCTGTGTGGCCCGGCTCCATATTCTCGTCCAACCTTGAGTCTCATGCTGTTCCAGCAGCAAGTCCCTCCGACCACGCTGGGCTTCTCCTGGTCGCCCGGCCTCATCATCCTCTTGCCAGACTCGGGCTTCGGCACAAGCGGCTCCTTCCACCTGGCACGCCCTTGACCCCTGGTGGTCCATCTTACATTCGCGCTTCAGGGTCCGCGCCTTTTTGAGACAGGAATCCCGACTCCACTGTAAAGTTGGGTGTCTTCCTCTTCGCCACCGCCTACCTCTGGCTACTTTCATTTTTGTTCCTGTCCCAGCCTACCGTAACTTGCAAATCCCTATGCCTGTCTCCTCTCCTAGACAGTGACTTTTTCTCGCGGACAGGTCTGGGTATCATCCCCCGTGGGCGCCCGGCCCGGTGCTTACCAACAGCAGGTGCTCAGTGCGTGTGTGTTCCGTCAGGGGACGAATGAATGTCTGGGTAGCTGCTAAAATAAATGGCCCATGTGGAGGGGAGGAAGGCTGGCCTGGGGCCTGAAGAGGAGGGGGAGAGAAGGAGGGAGGGCGCGCCCCACTATGGGACCAGCCTGGGCGAAGGCTGGTTGTGGCCAGGGGGCACGGGGTCCCTGGGACCACGATGTCCGCCAATGTCACCACCACAAACCTCAAATGGACATTCTTTATAGCCTGGCAGCCTTCCTGCTCCTCCCCACGAAGCTCGCTCTTGTAGTCCTCAAGGTAAGCGTTTTGTACCACCTCTGCTCACCCCCTGCCCACCCTCCTCATTCTCCCGAGGACCTAGAAGTCATCACGCAAGGGCTCCCTCACGTCCCCCCACCAGCACTAAAAACTGACCTGTCGTCACATTCTCCAGGGGGTGATGTGTTCCTCTCTCTGTTCTGGAACCCACCCCTGGCCCCCTTCCTGGACGCTGCCCTGCAGGCTCCCCCCACCCCCGCACCAGGCATGTCTGGGACACAAGCCGGCGCTGGCTGGGTTCAAACCCGGGCTCCACCCCTGGGTATCCTCGAGGCCTCACACAGGTTAAGTGGCCTCTATCTACTGGGCCGCCTGGGTGGCTCAGTCGGTTAAGCGCCCACCTCTCGGTTTTGGCTTAGGTCATGATCTCGCAGTTCGTGAGATCGAGCCCCGCATCGGGCTCCGTGCTGACAGCTTCCTTTTAGGGCTATTGCAGAGACTGGATGAATGTTCCATTCAGTAGCCGTTGGCTAAGACCCCTGTAGGGTTGCTCATCACCAGAAGGACTGCACCCTTCCTCCATACACAGCTCCCTCCAGCTACTGGCCTGTTGCTCCGCTCGTCACAGAGAAACTTCTAGAAAGGGTTGTCACCGTCTCCAATTCCTAGTTCCCATTTTGTCTTAACCCAATCCACACTGGCGTCCCTCCTAACGGGGCCACTGAAACCGCCCACGTCCAGGTCACCAGCTGACTTTTAAGGTTACCAAACCCAGCAGTCATCTCATGTGACCACTCAGCTGCATGGGGCACAGATGGCCACACCCTCCTGGGTGAGATCGAGCCTTCTCCCAGATCACAGGACACTCCCCTCCCCGGTTTCTTCCCTTCTGTCCGGCTGCTTTTCTCAGCGTCCATTGGGCTGTCTTTGGCCTCCCCTCTGGATGTCCCGAGAGCCTCAGGAACTCACTCTGGGGGTGCTTCTTCCTCGCGGTGTTTCATCCAGTCCTACAGCTCTCAATACCACGTCTGTGGCTGTGACGCCTGACTATTCGCGTCCTGACCTAGCCTGAGCGGGCCCACGATGTCCAGCCAGCTATTTGTGGAAGCCGCTGGCTGATTATTAAACACTTAATGATTAATTTACGTATCTCCCAACCCATTTCTCCCCTGGTTAACGCCACCTCAATAAATGGCATCATTAGGGGCTCCTGGGTGGCTCAGTCGGTTAAGCGTCTGACTTCGGCTCAGGTCATGATCTCGCGGTCCGTGAGTTTGAGCCCCGCGTCGGGCCCTGCGCTGACAGCTCGGAGCCTGGAGCCTGCTTCGGATTCTGTGTCTCCCTCTCTCTCTGCCTCTCCCCTGCTTACGCTCTGTGTCTCTCTCTCTCAATAATGAATAAACGTTAAAAAAAAAATAAATGGCATCACAATTCCCAAAGATGCCCAAGTTCAAAACCTAGAAGTCATTTGTGATTCCTTCCTTCCCCTTCCCCCGCACAGCCGACTCATAAGCAAGCCGCTAGCTTCAAGCCACATACCGAATCTATCTACTTCACTTAGAGGCCTTGGCAACGCACGTGGGATGGAGTAGTTGGGGGAAGGAAGGAATCTATGAGAGAGGAAGGGGCCAGAGACTGGGTTTGAGGTTCTCAGGTCATAGTGCTGAGTTGGAAGGTCGGGTAAAGGTGGAAAAGAAGAGCCCAGTAGAAACATTTGAGAAAGAACTGATCAAGTGAAGATTCATTAGAATGGGAGGGTGGCAGGCGGGGGAAGGAGGGAAGAATCCAATGTGCTTCTTGCACAAGAGCAAGCCTGTACTTGGTGGCAGACTCTGGTTCGCGCCTGGGTCTGGGCAAAGTCCAGGTGTGGGGGCTGAGAGGGCGCCAGCCCCTGAAGATTTCTTGGGAGACTCCTGGGGTTCCCCAGCTGGAAGCAGGGAGGCACAGTGGGAAGGGGAAAGGTTTGAGGGCTCTTCTCATGGGGGGGTCAGTGCTGTGGAGGCAGGGGAGCAGAGGGCAGGTGGGAGTGGGGTCTCACGGCCTGGGCTCAGTATCCGTGGACGATGGGTAGTGAAGCTGCAGACACGGGGGTGGGGAGACCTGGCTGCCCCTCCACGCACGCGCACCTCCCTGAGAGCATAGCTCCCCACATCACCCACTTCGCAGAGTGAGCTCGGATCGCTCTCAGACCCCTTGCTTCCAGGCCTTTGGGCTGAGAATGAAGGAAAGACAGATGGAAAATAGGTGCCCAAAACCACTCTCTCAGCCCCTTCTCCCTCTCAGCAACCCAGCATCCCCTTCTGGTCAGGCTCTGCGATCAAGCAACTCAGGCCTTTATCCCCTCCACAAGTAGACGACTATATCATTTATCTCATCCAACGTGGGTTGTTTCTGAGCAAAGTCTTTGCTATTAATAAGTTTGTGAGCAAAACGCAGTGGGACAGTCTAGTCAAACCTGGGCCTGTAGTCATGCAGATATCCATTCAGAAGTTTCTTAGCTTATTTGGGCTACCCGCCTGACTCTCCAAGCATCTGCTGTGTCTCCATCAGGGACCCCAGGGGGCTCTCTACCCTCTAACCATCCCTCCTTCCATTTTGGCATAGGTTTGAAATGAGAAGCAGGTCAAAGTGAGACGATAGGCTTCAGAGAGAGCCAAATTCTAAGTTGGCGTGCCTCCTCAACTATGCTTCATGACTGTGAACCTGCCCCCATTCCCGCCCTCCAACACCTCAATGGCCTCGTTTCTCCACCCGCCTGTGCCTTGGTTCAGAATGGTTCGGCTCGCCGCTTTGTGGGGCAATAGGGCAAACACGCGCATATGGAGTCAGAAAGCACAGCAGCCGATCACTGTTCCTATTCTGGAGTGGATAAGGGGTAGCTCACCAGCTCTACTAGAGCCGACTCCAACCTTCAGAAGGCCAGCGTCTGCTTCCTCTATCTGGAATTCGAGTTCCTAAATGGTCAGGAACCTAGTCAGGGTCTTGCCTGAGGTACCAGCAGAGACAAGCTGAGAGACCGACAGGGGCCCCATCAGGAAGAGGCACCAGCCAAGCCAGGCACAGAACCAACCATGGGGAGGTCAGGAGGCAGGTTCCCCACGATCTCATGTCTTCCACCCCACCTTCACGCACTTGACCGCATAAACACTCCGTGCTCGAATTGTGCCCAGACCCGCTGCACGAATGCCATCTCCTCGCAATGCACCCGTGCGCTGCACCACCCCGACTTGCGGCGACCGGCTACCAGGGGCACCCCGCCTCCGCTCGCACGCTCCCCACGAACACGCGCGCCCGCCACGGCCCTCACCGAGCGGGTCGGGTCCTCCTCTGCCTGGTCCCCCTGGGGCTCTGCTGGGAAGGAGGCGCGTCCTAGCCCTCCTCCACTGACATCTCCACCCCTCTTCCTGTTGACCCTCGGCCCACCCGGCCCCGCCCCGACGCGGCTCGGCAGCCCGTGAGGATGCACAGCACTGCGGAGGCCATCACCTGGAGCGGGCGGCGGCGGGGCCAGCTCCCATGACATGTACCATGACCAGGCAGGAGGCCGAGGCAGGCAGGCGCCAGGCCAGCCCAGCGCAGGCTAGGCCTGGGGCCGCGCCCGGCTCCCCAGGAGCCCCTCGCCTCTCGGCCGAGCAGCCGAGCCATGGGGGCGGGGGCTGCCTGCTCACCCGCCTCCCCCCCCTCCGGACCCACTGGGCAGGGGAGGGAGGGGCGGGGAGCAGCGGACGGCGTGCACCGGAGAGAGGGCGACGACTGCGCATGGGAGGGAGCGACTCCAGGGGCCCGGATCACTCTCGATTGCTGGCATGACGCAGGCAGGCACCGTCCTCCAACCCAGACGAGGAGCCCCGCGCCAGGCGTCGATGCCCCGTCGCTGGGCCAGGGTTGTGGGGGGCCCCAGCCAACGGGAAAGTGAGGGGGGGCGGCGCGGGCGGCGGGGGCCGGCAGCGCGCGAAGCCTCCCACCCGGCCAGGAGGCGGCGGCGGCGTGGCGGCGAGCGGGTGACCCGCGCCTCCGACAGGTCCTGATGATTTCAGGCTCCGTGAGTCCCCCAGCAGTGTGGAGAAGGCCAGAGCAAGTTTGGACTTTATCGGCTGCACCGTGCAGCGGTACTATGCCGTGCATAGTGAGAGAGCCCTGGCCCGTGAGAAGCGCGCCAAGCCAGCACGATCCCCCCCCCCCACCTGCCCCCACCCCAGATGGGATATGTTTGTTTACTTCCTCAGCACTCCGGCCGAACCAGTAAAGGAGAGGAAAGAAAACAGAATGAGTTAACTGATAGAGATCACAGTAGTGGGACCTCAGGTCTCCATCAGCCTGTAAATATTTTAGGTCAAGAAAACAAGGCAATCTTATCGTCAGGCCTCATCTCAGACTTACTCCGTAGCTCAGTTTCTGGGCCCCAGCGATCACCCTCGCCTGGTGATGTGGGAACGACAGGGCGAAAGAGAAATAAGGTATGGGGCGCCTGGGTGGCTCCGTGGATTAAGCCCGAGCTTGGGATTAGGTCATGACTGTATACTGTGAGTTCAAGCACTTTAAGGTTCTTACTCTGTGCAGCAGCTCAGCCCTTGGAGCCTCTTCGATTCTGTCTCGTCTCTGCCCCTCCCCTCCCCTGCTCTCTCTCTCTCTGTCTCAAGTGTAAAATAAAACATTAAAAATTAAAAAAAAAAAAGAAGGAAATGGCAGGTGACATTAAATGTCCTGATAATCGGCAGCCCATTGAGGCAAATCCAGAGAACATTTCTCCAGGAAGCCCCCTACACAGATCCTCCTAGTCGAATGCCACTGGAGGAAAACAGCAACTACCTGGACCATGGCTGGGCCTTGGGTATCTTAGGAGTCCTCTTTGGCGTATCAAAGTCCTTCTGGAAACCTCCCTTTGGTCCTCACCTCCCCAACGCCTTAGTATATAAGCAGCCTTCACAACCCCCCGGGGCAACTCTTTCTACCCAGGGGTCCTGTCCCCATGCTTTAAATAAAATCATCTTGTTTTGCACCAATGATGTCTCAAGAATTCTTTCTTGGCTGTCAGCTCAGCTCTGAACCCCCTTCCCTCTTCAAAATCCCATCACGAGGAACTGGAAAAGAACCTGAGGACATGGTTAACGCGGGTCCTGTTGTCACTACTCTGGGCAGATCAGTTGGTGGTCAGTTAAAAAACGTGAGCATCTGGCGGTGGGTTGCGTCATCCTCCGCCCCGTTAGTGTTCCCCAAATGCAAGTGTCTGGAAACACACGGGCTGCTTCCGGTAATCACAGGGCCTAAATGAGCTCAAGGAGAGCTACAAGAGCCCTATAAATGAATTTGGTAAAAGCCGGACCCTCAAGAATGCATTTAACACTGGGGCGCCTGGGTGGCTCCTCGGATTCTTGGTTCAGCTCCTGTCATGATCTCACGGTTTCCTACGTTCGAGCCCCTCGCCGGGCTCCTCGGTGAGCATGCAAAGCCTGCTTGGGATTCTCTCTCTTCCTCTCTCTTTCCTCCCCTCACTAGGACTGTCTCTCTCCCTCGCTCTCAAAATAAGTTAAAAAAAAACTAAAAAGAATGCATTTCACCTGTTAACATTCACTTCAGCACATTTGCAGTGAAAAAGGATTAGCAAACAATTCCGTTGCAAGAGGAATAATTAAAAAGGGTAAAGCAGTGATTCTAAGGGAAGTGTATGGAGAACCTTCTGCCTTGAGGCTCTGTGTCGTCCTGCCCTTTTGTTCTGGAACCTGCTGACCTACCTTCCTCCTTCAGGGTGTCATCACTTTTATTCCCCATACTTGGGACACTCAGACCACCCCAGCTCAAAGTCATTTTGGAGGGTTTTCCAGATCATCTTTTCTAAACAGGATCCAAACTTCCCTCATTCTCTGTTCTGGTACCCCTTATCGGTTTCTCAGCTCTCACAATTTATAATGATAGATTGGCTACTATCTCCCCATCTACATTGTAAAGTATAAAATTATATATTTTCTGGCTTCTGCTTCTAGAAGAAGCGTCTATTTCTAGAAGGTAAATTCTATGAGGACTTTATTCACTGTGTTCCCAGCACCTTGTCAAATGCTGGTTCCCCAAACGTCACTAGAACAAACTGTTGAGAAGACAAATTAGACTTTATTGCTTGCCCCTCAAAGGTCTGACACCTCATAGGGAAATGGGCAAGCCCATGACATTTATTGAGACCTTGAAGTCTGGTTTCAAGCAGGTGTTCCCATGCAGGGGCAGGAACAGGGGTTGTTGATTAAGGTAGGTAAGGGTTAGGGTGGAATCATGGAGAATTTACACAACAAGGTGAGAGGCTCAAATAGTCTTAAAGTGTAAACGGTCAGTTGATATTTCTATTGATAATCAGCTGATTTGTTTTAGC